GCGGGAGGGGGGAGAACAGGGGAACCTGTGGCTGATATGTAGAACTAAATGGTATTGTAAAATAAAAGGGGAAAAAAAATAAAGTAGTAATGGAGAAATTCACCCCCCCCCAAAAAAAAAACAAATTTTAAAAAAATGTTTATTATTTCCAAAAGAAGAAATCCCAAACCTACAGAGAATGCACTAGGAAAGAAGGGTTCTGCAGAGTCTGGTTATAACAGCATCGGAAGCTCTTGGCGTTAAGGGTACGGCTCAGTGGCACAGTGCAAGGCCGTGGGGTTTGACAGCCAGTGCCACAAGCAAACAAACAAACCCTCTTCTGCATCTTGACCATTTAGGAGAGGCGAGGTGTGGGATTATTATACCCATAATCCCAACACTTGTGTGGCTGAAGCAGGAGGATGAAGATAGTCCCTACCACATACCCAGACCTTGTCTCAAGAGAAATTAATTCCTAATTTAAAACATATTTTCTTTGTCACACAAACTGCAGAACTAACTCTGCAAAGCTGCCATTTTCCTGGGGTTACTCTGCATTCTGAAAATGTGTCTGAACAACTGAACAGAGCTAGAAAAGTCAAATACAACAGTACACCCACTTCAAATTCACTTACTCAATAAATATCTATCAAGTGTTCACTGGCTGCCAGTTATTATCTGAGATGTCAAACATCAAACTTTTAACTGATAGTCCTCCATTCTCTCAGTTATCAACTTAGTTTCAATTTTTTTTGGCACTACTGGGGGTGATCTTGGGACAGCATGCACTCTTCCACTGCGCCACAGTCTCAGCCCTTCATTTTTTTTTTTAAACACAGAAACAAAGCGAGAATCCTCAGTCCTACTAAGACATACTCCCACCTACGTGAGCAGACTTCTGTCATCAGAGGCCGTGTGGGGAACACACATCCTGCACTAACCCTCTTCACCTTTCAGGGACTTAGCTCACTTAGCTCCTTCGGTTCTCTCTGTGTCAATCTTGGCTTCTTTATTCTCTCTGGCAAATAAACATCATCTAGTACTTCCCATTTCTGTCCTTCACTGATACAGTTCTCCAGAGAGCTGCATACAGACAGTCTACACTTCCTCATCAGCAATGCAGTGAGCCTTCTGACTCCACTGATCGGGGAATCAGGAAATAGCTTTCCAGGAGAACACCAATGACCTCCACGCTGGCAAATGCAAAAACTCACACCTTACCTCCCTGGGTGAGGCAATCGCTCTCTCTTCCGTTGACAGCTCCTTCTGCTTCTACTTCTTGGAGTTATTCAAAGCCTGGTCCTGCGTTCTTTTGGTGTTCTCTTCACGCTCTCCCTAATGATGTCATCTAGTCACTCAGCCTTAAATACCCTCTACATAGTGACAATTCTCCTCTCACAAGCAGAATGTTCCACATGACAGTGCCTTATGAATATTCTGTAAGAATAATCAGATCACAGAAGGATCTTGCCAAGTATTCAAGCCCAACCCACTCCTATAATGCACACACAGGCAAGCAGAAGTAAATCGACTCAGATAATGTCACAGAACAAGTCACAACAAACATAAAAAGCAGTACCCCAAACACAACTGGTCTTACATAATAGTATGGGTGTGCTGACCTGTTGGCAAGACACTTTTCTTTCCCCAAACTAAATATAGATTATTTCTTGAAGGATTTTGAAAGAAACAGTCTCAATCTACATCTTTTTCTTTGTACTATTAGAAAATTGGGCCAAAGCCAGGCATGGTGGCACACGCCTTCAATCGATCTCTGTGAGTTCAAGGGTAGCCTGATCTACAGAGCAAGTTCCAGACTGCCAAGGCTACACAGAGAAGCCCTGTCTTCTCTCTCTCTCTCTCTCTCTCTCTCACA